AAATATTAAATAAATATTACTAGTATACAGATCTATTTTTTTAAAAATGTCTTTAGTAGAATTCAAACTCTAAACCTGCTACTTGAGAAGTGACAACTTAGCCACTACTCTAAGTTACTACACCCTTAATTTTAATTAAAATTTAAACTTTATCTATATTTGATTTTTATTATATTTTTTTTTTTATTTATATTTGATTTTTATTATACAGTATTTTAAAATTATATTCTAACTTTAAAAATAAAAATAATTATATTACTACTGGTTATTTAAATATAAAAATATAAAATATTTATTGCAATTTTTATAGATTTGTTTATTATTTTTTAAGTTATTAATACAATAATATATTTAAACTAGCATATGCTATTTAAAAACAAGCTAAAAAAAAAACTTTAAAAGTATTGATTAGTTGTTTTTTTTTCAAGAAACAAATATTTCGTAATGTGGGTTGATAATATTTAAGTAAAAAACTGATTACCCGAAACACATTTAAAATTTTGTAAAAATAGAAATGCAAGTTATTATTTTTGGAGTAAAAATACTGGTTATCATATATTTAAGCCATTCTATTTGTTATTAAATAATCTCTCGATCACTATCAAGATCATTACTATATACTTTATATATATATTATTAAAAACTATGTTTGGGGCGTCTTCAATCTTAAATCATAGCATGATCGACGATAAATCCGAGTTTTATTATTTAAGATATAACGATAAAATGAGGCCCATTCATTTTTTATTAAGTAAATGGCTTAATTTGATTAAAGATAATGAAATATGGCAATGAATTGCTGACAATCACATTATTCTGTATGTTGATCATTTAAATTTAAACTTTAAAATGTTTAACGTAATAATTATTATAAATAATTATTATATTCATATAACAAAATTCTATTGTACAAATTATTATTACGTACGTACTCAGTACGCGTCATAATTAATTTTAAAAAAATATATATTAACACCATAATACACGAATGTATTTGGTTTATAAGATGCATTATAAAAATTTGGATAATAACCAATTTTTAAGATCTTTATCTATATACAGAAGCATCACACTATAATAATGGAGCCCCTTGAAAAGTTGAACAGAATTATACAACCATCAAATTTTGAAATACATTACAAAATCTATAAATGATTGCGAAATCTATCCGATATTGATACTATAAATAACATTAAAATTATTAAGAAAGAGTATTGATTTGTATGTACCGAGAAACTTCTTATTCATTTTTTAACGGAACCTTTACAATACTCCAGTCCCTTACTTTTTCAAATACCCAGAAGTTTAAACTACCCAATGGAACAATAATCCACATCCTAGCAGACATTCCAACAAATAAACCTCTCATACCTTCAGTCTTTACAATACTCGCGGCCATGTTCCACCATTTTAGCTCTTTTTGTCCAGCCTCACGCGCGATCTGTATTTTTGTTTTTACAACATCGAAAGGTGCAGAAGTGAAAGTTGCAGTAGCCCCAGCCAAGACACCAGCTGACACAGAAAGAAAAAAATGAGAAGAGGGTAAAAAAGGAAGGCGGTGTCGATTTTGTTGTAATGTTTCTAAGGTATAAGTATAAGTGAAAAAATATGTAGGAAAAAAAGAGACAGTGTTGAGTAGACCAGCAGCCCAACCACGGTAAAGAAAACGGTGTAAGGGGACATCTTTAGGTTTTAGGCGGGTGATAAAATTGTTTTTTAATGAGACCGAGTGTAAATATGAGCCATTGAGATTATGAGTTAAAGGTGAATTATGAGATGTAACAATATTAGAAGTTGTTGCAGTAGAGATCGCTCTTTTTTTAAGAGAAGGAGAAGTGTTATTAATTTGAGTAATATTATTAGGTGAAAAAATGGCGGATCTTGAAACTTGAAGTTGTTGAGAAACTACATCAAAAGGGATCATAAAACTTGAAGTTATCACAGCGCTCAAAGTTCCCAACAAAGCATTAATAGTTGAATGATTGCGATTTTCTAGCCAACCTAACCCAATAGAACCACCTTTTCCTTTGTGTACTATGTCTCTTAATGCATCATAAGTGGAAAAATGAACCAAACGTCCACAGATACTGCCTAAACCATAAACCCCTACACCTTTAAAAAAACCACGAACACCTTCAGTTTTAATCCTTTCAGCGAAAACTTGACTCATCGATGTAGTAGAAGACGTCCCGATATTAGATTGTTGAATTGTCTTAACAGTTCTTATAGGGTAAAAGACATATACTGGAATAAGATTTATGAAAAAGCCATATAAATAATAACGTTTAAAATCTATGGCTTGATCTCGCTCTAGACGGAAATTCATCTCGGTAGTATTAAAGTAGAAGCGTTAAATCCCTTTCACTCCCAAGCCGTGGGGGAGAAACAAAACTCTCCCGGGATATAAAGGCTTTCTTGTAGAAAGTCAAGAAGCCGAATTCGCAAGCAATGAACGATAACGATAAGCAACAAATTGAATATTTGTGCCACGAGCATACTACGGGATGCACATATTGCGTCATGAGTACCGCAAATCACCGTATACAAGACCCGCATTCCACTTTTAAAACTTATAGTAGGCCCCGGGGCCAGTACACAGCTGAGAATTTTATATCATTAAGTAAAAAAACTTTGAAGAGCATTCATTTATAGTAGTCTAATATTTGAAAAAAAACCAGGTGTGATTACCGTAAAACGCCGTATAAGGTACCCCCCCTTGATTTGTACCGGGTATGTTTCAAGGTTATTTGTTGTGGTGTTTTGTAAGAGACCCGGGTATAAAT